CCCAGAGGGGTCCGCCAAGGAGATTGCAATCGGCCGACTATGCGGCGTGAGTGTGGTGCCGTCTCGAAAAAAGGAGCGGGAAGCACCCTAGTGAAGGGTGAAGGTGTGTAAGGCCTGAGCCGACGTGGTACCTGAGAGAGCAGACTCACTATCACTTGGGGCAGCAGACGCTCTAGCACCTAGAGCAGCAGCCTCACCAGCACCTAGAGCAGCAGCCTCAATGCCCGGGTCAGGCGGAACACATAGGTAACAGTCACCCTCATCACTAGTAGGCAATGCATACATGGCAGTGAGGATAGCATCATAGTCAAGAGTATAGATATCTACCCGCAGCCTAAGCAGCTCCACCCAATCGGGGAGCTCAGCTGCGTCGCCAAACTCCGTACGCCAGGCGTTGCTCAGACGGGCGAACTTGCGGGACTCTACGTGACCAAACGTCCCGCAATGCTGACCAGTTGGAGCACAAGTATGAATGACGTACGGATAGCGGGCAGTACCCCGTGACCCGCTACGCTGATCGTACCATACACGAAGCTGCTGGGGCGAAAGGACCGCACATGGACGACGCTGCAGCTCCACCTGGCCACTACAAGCAGCTGCTGAACTACTCACTCTAGGACGACTCCCACTATGGCCACCCCGACAACCCCAAGTAGCGTACCACTCACAAAGCTGCTGGGGCATGAGGGACTCACGCGGACGTCGCTAGAGCTGCATCTGGCCACCGCCAGGAGCAGCAGGAGTAGTGGTATCCGTAGTAGCAATAGGAGTAGTCGCAGCGCGGCAACCCCTATAAACCCAACTAGCGTACCACTCACGAAGCTGTTGGGGGGTGAGGGACTCACGTGGACGACGCTAGAGCTGCACCGAGCCACGCCAGGAGCAGAAGTAGCAGTTGAAAGATCAGTAGCATCAAGAGCAGCAATAACACCAGTGCGGGCAGGGTAGTGCTCACCAGTGGCGAGAAGGGGAGGCGTACGACGGCGGCAACGGCGAGGCCGCTACCACTATAGGGCGAGGGCTCCGCGGCAGCTGCATGGACGGCAGTTATAGGGGCGGCTGCTCTAGGGGCGGCTGCTCTAGGGGCGGCAGCTCCAGGGGCGGTTGCTGCAGGGGTGGCTGTTCCAGGGGAGGCTGCTGCAGTGGCGGCTGCTGCACGGGTGGCTGCTTCAGGGGCGGCTGCTGCAGGGGCGGCTGCAGTAGGGGCGGCTGCTGCAGTGGCGGCTGCTCCGGGGGCGGGTGCTGCAGTAGCGGCTGCTCCTTGGGCGAGTGCTGCAGTGACGGCTGATCCAGGGACGGCTGCTCCAGGGGCGGCTGCCGCAAGGGCGGCTGCTCCAGGGGCGGCTGCTGCAGGGGTGGCTGCTCCAGGGGCGGCTGCTTCAGTGGCGGGTGCTCCAGGGGCGGCTGCTTCAGGGGCGGCTGCTCCAGGGGCGGCTGCTGCAAGGGTGGCTGCTCCAGGGGTGGCTGCTGCAGTGGTGGCTGCTCCAGGGGCGGCTGCTTCAGGGGCGGCTGCTCCAAGGGCGGCTGCTTCAGGGGCGGCTGCTTCAGTGGGGGCTGCTCTAGGGGCGGCTGCTTTAGGGGCGGCTGCTCCAGGGGCGGCTGCTGCAGGGGAGGCTGCTCAAGGGGCGGCAGCTGCTGTGGCGGCTGCTCCAGGGGCGGCTGCTGCAGTGGTGGCTGCTCCAGGTTTAGGTTAGAGCAGTGAAACGCGGCGGGCAGGGGTGACGCCTCGCGAGTCCCGCAGGGGCGACACGACAACGCGGGGGCAACGCGGCAGGGCCGCGCCTGGCGACGGAGCGGGGCCATGACTGGGGACGAGGTGAGGCCGGGAAGGGGCCGCGAAGGGGCCGTGAGGGGGGCTGCGAGGGGGCCACGAAGGGGCCGCGAATGGAGACGTGAAGGGAGCCGTGAGGGGGCCGCGAGGGGGGCTGTGAAGGGGCCGCAAAGTGACGAGAAATGAGAATGAATGAACTATGAAACAGTTGGGTACAAGTACTAACCCTAATTGGGTTGTACCCCTTATGGGTTACCCCTATACAGCCTACGTAGATGTATAAGCTATATGTTCTGACACACCCCCATAGGCAAAGTGGGGGAGAACAAGTGGTCACGAGACCAGTCAAGCAAAGCAAAGCAAGCTCAGGGTGGATCACCAAGTCACCACATAGTCCGAGCACAAGAGCAAGGCCACAAGGCCAGTTCACATGCAAGATCATATATATAAAGGTAAACAAGCAAGTGCAGGTATAGAAAGAGTACAGTATAAACAAGATCAAGAAGTGAGCAAGTGAGGCCAGGTAGGCACAAGACCTAGCAAAGTACAGAAGCGCTGATGATCTCAAGGCGGAAGGGCCTTGGTGAAGATATCAGCAGTGTTGGCCACAGAGGCCACATAGGTGAGGCGGCGCATCCAGATCTCCTCGTGCAGGCTGCCCTGCAGGAAAGCTGTGCTGAAGTCGAGAGAGTGAAGCTCGTAGTCGCGCTGAGCGGCTATGTGCAGCAGCACCTGAAGAGTGGTCATCTTCGGGGTAGGAGAGAAGGTCTGAAAGTAGTCAACTCCCTGCCGCTAAGTCAAGCCTCGAGCCACGTAACGCGCCCTGAAGATAGGCGGAGAACCCGGCGGCCGCTTCACCCTGAAAATCTACATGCTAGTGACGATGTTCGCCCAAGGTGGGGGAACCTCCTCAACGTAGGTGCCTGTGGACTTCCAAGAAGCCATCTCTGCGTCCATGGCCGAGTGCCATTGAGAGGAGTAGGGACCCTCCATCGCCTCAGCGTACGATCGAGGAGTCAGGATGTCTGGTGCATCCGGGTCTCCCTCAGGGGCAATCAGCGTGGACACGAGATGGGGCAAAGCAGCCGCAAAGCACTGGAACTCCTCGTGCCTGTCCTCAAGGACGTCCGTGCTAAGAGCACACTCACCCCCAATGGATAGAGGACAGATAGACTCAGACTCAGCAACGAGACTGGCAGCGTAGTCTAGACGACAATGAGCAGCGAAGTCGACAAGCTCAGCAACTAGAGTAGACGCAGCATGGGATTGAAAGGAAGTGTCAATGACAACACTAGCAAGAAGGCGCGTGACCGAAGGACTAGCAGCATGAAGAGAGTCAGACTCCGAGTAAGCAAGAGAAGGAAGAGAGGACTCTTGAGGAGACGGCAACGGGACACGCAGAGGAGGAGTGGAAGGACGCAGTGCCATCTGGTTTGTGCCAGGGACCGCAGGAGGACGCGGATGCGCACAACGACGACTAGTGCGAGCAAACCCAACAGGCGACGCAGGACGAGATCAGGCTCACGATGCTCAGCAAGACCTCCAGTAGGACCAGTGTAGGGAGCAGGAACAGGTAGAGGGGAGGCGGGCTATAACTGTGATGGCGACTGGACAGGCTGTGGACACTCTAAGGGAGGAGCAGGACCAGGAGAGGGCGGGAGACCAAGAACCTGCTCCAGGAGCCGAACAAAGTACGGCCTCGGCCGCTCAGCGCCTTCAGAACCAGCAAGGACGGCACTAGTACCCCCAGCAGCAGCACCAGCGCCAGCAGCACCTCCAGCTCCAACAGCGCCAACTCCAGCACCCTCAGAAGCACCAGCGCCAGAACCATCGCCAACGCCAAAACCTCCAACAGCTCCAGCTCCAGCAGCACCAACTCTAGTAGGACCGTCAGCACCAGCAGCCTGAGCAGCACCCCCAGACGTAGCACCACCAGTAGAAACACCAGCGCCAACACCCCCAGCAGCTCCACCTCCAGTAGAACCAGCACCTCCAGCAGCTGAAGCAGGACCAACTCCAGTAGCTCCTGCAGCACCCCCAGTCTCAGCGCCACATCTTCAGCTGCGGGCGAACCACTCCCGCAGCTCCTCTGGAGAAAGCGGCTCCCGCCTCGACGAAGCACCGCCGGCGGCCACACGAGCAGACGCAGCACCCCCACGCTCCGCACCCCCAGGCTCAGCACCTTCTGGCTCCGCACCCCCAGGCTCAGCACCCCCAGACCCAGCACCCCCAGGCTCAGCACCCACAGTCTCAGCACCCCCAGACTCAGCACCCACAGTCTCAGCACCCCCAGACTCAGCACCCCCAGACCCGGCACCGGCAGGATCAGCACCTCTAGCAGCACCAGACTCAACTGCTACCTCGACAGGCTCGACTGAATCGACATGGGACACATCTGACGGGGCATGACCGTGAGGAGGGAGGGGGTGTAACGGGGGAGGATCTGGCGCAAGGAAGAGCGGCGGCGGGGGGATTAGACGGTAGTAAGGCATCGACTCGTCAAAGGTGACGTCCTTGGAGGACAGAACACGGCGCGAGGTGGGGTGGTAAAACTGCCACCCAAGCGCGTTAGGGGGGAAGCCAAGGAAGACGCAGGAAACTGCACGGGGGGACAGCTTGTCCGCAGACAGGTCGCGGACAAACGCTCGAGATCCCCAGACCCGAAACGCAGACGCATCACCAACCTTCCCTGTCCACCGCAAGGCAGGGGAGGTCTCTAGCAAGGAGACCCGGGGCTGAAGGTTGAGCTGATGCGCGGCGTACTGAACCACAAACGGCCACAGAAAATGGGGGGCAGCCGCATGCATCATGGACGTACGAGCGACGTCCATGACCATGCCAATGCGGCGCTCAGCAATCCCATTTTGCTGTGGAGAGGCCGGAACGTGAAGGTCTGGCGGATGCCTTGTGCACGACAGAAGGCTCCCACACGGGCAGAGGAAAACTCCCCGCCTCTGTCCGAGTGCAGATGCAGAACACGAAAGTCCGAGCTGAAACTCTCTCTGTGCTGGAGACGAGCTGCGCGGATCTAGTCGATCAACACCTCAGTGACGTCACCCTTGCTGCGCAAGAGGAAGAGTGTGGTGTAACGCGAGTTGTCGTCAACCACCAGCAGAAAGTACGGCTCTCGCCCCTGCCCACTGAAGAGGGCTAGGCCCCACACGTCCATGTAGAGAGTATGGAGCGGAGCCTCTGTCGGAGGAAACTCGGAGGAGTGAGGGGCGGCGCGCTATCGCCCCTCGATGCAGGGGATGCAAGTAGGGCCAGACTCATGACCAGACCTGGACGCCGCAGCAAACACCTGACTCCACGTAGCTACCTGGGCAGACTCAGCAGCAAGAGGAGACTCAGTAGTAAGGGTGTACAGGCTCGACCCTGGCCGACGGGTGAACGTGGCCAAGTGTCGGCCTGTATGAGCACACGTGCAGTGGGTCACTCGCTGACTCGCAGGAGTGAACTGGTCAACCCGCCTATTCTGTAGGTCTGCTCCACTCACCAAGTTCGTAGTGAACAAGGGGAGGTAGAGACCTGACAGGGTGCTAGAGGGGGCTGCCGGGCACGGTAGGACAGTGGAGAAGCTAGCAAGGACAGGACCCCCAGAGGGGTCTACCAGGGAGACTGCAACCGGCCGACTAAGCGGCGTAAGAGTAGTGCGGTCTTGAAAGAAGGAGCGGGACGCACCCGAGTCTAGGGTCAAGGTGTGGAAGGCGTGAGTCGACGTAGTACGTGAGAGAGCAGACGCATTAGCACCTGGGGCGGCAGACGCACCAGCACCTGGGGCAGTAGACGCACTAGCACCTAGAGCAGCAGCCTCACCAGTACCTAGAGCAGCAGCCTCAATGCCCGGGTCAGGTGGTATGCACAGGTAACAGTCACCAGCAACACTAGTATCAACAGCATACATGGTAGCAAGAATAGCATGAAAGTCAAGATCTAAGATAGCAACCTCGGCCTTAGACAGATCTCCCTAGCGAGGGATCTCTGACGCCTCAGGGAACTGGCAACGCCACGCGTCCGTCAGGCAACCAAAGCAGCGCTCGGTGGAGTGCGGGCCTCCGCACTGCTCACCAGCTCGGTTGCCGGTACGAAGGACGTAAGCGTAGGGACCAAAACCCCCATAGCGCTGACGCGCAGTGTACCACTCACGAAGCTCCGGAGGGGACAGGGTCACACCACTCGCTCCTGCTGGCGCTGACCACCACCGGCGCCACTCCTCTGCGTAGAGTCGCAACCCGCTCCACCACCGCCGCCGCCACCGCCGCCTCCTCCATCTCCGCCTTCGCCACTACCTCCGCCGCCTCCGCTCCCTCCGCCACCTCCACCACCTCCGCCGCCTCCAGTGCCGCCGCCGCCGCCGCCGCCACCCCCGGCACCACTCCCACCACCACCCCCACTCCCTCCACTGCATCCACCACCACCTCAACGCCCCCTCCAGTCCCTCCAGCGCCCATGCCCCCCTTGCCCTTGCCGGTGCGGCGTCTCCCGCTCGGGGCAGACGTAGCGCCGATCGACTCAAAACCAACAAGGTCGGCCGCAGCAGTAGAGGCAACAAAGGGCAAGAGGGGGGAAGGAGAACACCCCTCAAAGACGGGGGTGCGAGGGTCACCACGAGAGGCTCCTATAGCGACTATGCTCTTCTCTATCGCTATGAGGGCCTTCTCGAGGAGGTCAACGGCGAGAGAGGTGGGGCAAACTGAGAGGAAGTGGTCCTGACTACGCGGAGAGAGTCAGGGATACGGGAGACTATGTAGTAGAGAGTGATGTACATAGGGGGGGGGGGTGTTCTTGGCGCAGAACTCAGCAGGAAGCGCTGTGCGGTAGCGAGTATCACTAGTGCGGAGGTGCATAATGAGGTCAGCGACTGTGGGAAAGGCAGCAAGGTCAGGGAAGAGGTACGGTAGCATGAGGCGGCTCAGTGCAGCAGTGGCAGGGGAAGAGTAGCGTGCAACTACAGCGCCGTACAAGGTCTGAGCACTCTTGTACTGGCTAAAGTGTGCACGCTCAGTGGTCGGTAAGTGGCGGCGCACAGCAAGGCGAGCAGCAGCATCGCGCGTGGCCCACTGTGAGCGAATTGTGGCGTCAGCATCAGCAGCAGGGGCAGGAGAGGCACCATAAGTGAGGTTAAACAGGGAGAGGCCGTCCGCCCTATCGCACTGAAGAAACAGCTGAAGGTCATCGACCCAGACCTCAAAGTCAACAGCACTGCCCTGAGCATCAAAGGTGAGGACACTAGGGGTAGCCATGACTGGAGTGGCCTAGGAGGAAGTGAGCTCACCTGTCCGAGGAAGGAGGGGCCGGGGAGCACCGGTAGGAACAGCAGCTGCTAGACAGTAGGGTGGCTCGGCGGCAGGGTGGCTCGGCTACAGGGCGGCTCGGCTGCTGGGCGGCTCGGCGGCAGGGCGGCTTAGCTGCTGAGCGGCTCAGCGGCAGGGTGGCTCGGCGGCAGGGCGGCTCGGCTGTTGGGCGGCTCGGCTGCTGGGCGGCTCGGCTGGTGTGCTGCCCGGCGGCGGCGTCGTAGGTGACGGCGGGTCCGCAGGTGGCGGCGGGGCCGCAGGTGGTGACGGGGCCGCAGAGGGGCCAAAACGAGGCCGTAAAGGGGCCAGACGGGGCCGTAGTGGGGCCTAGGTGGGGCCGCAAAGGGGCCGTAAGGAGCCTAGGCGGGGCTGTAAGAGGCCTAGGCGGGGCCGCGGAGGGGCCTAGGAGGGGCCGCAAAGGGTCCGTAAGGAGCCTAGGCGGGGCCGTAAGGGGCCAGACGAGGCCGTAGAGGGGCCTAGGCGAGGCCGCAAAGGGGCCGTAAGTGGCCTAGGCGGGGCTGTAAGGGGCCAGACGGGGCCGCGGAGGGGCCTAGGCGGGGCCGTAAGGGGCCAGACGGGGCCGCGGAGGGGCATAGGCGAGGCCACGACGGGGCCGTAAGGGGCCAGACGGGGCCGCGGAGGGGCCTAAGCGAGGCCGCGACGGGGCCGTAAGGGGCCTAAGCGGGGCCGTAAGGGGCCAGACGGAGCCGTGAGGGGCCAGACAGGGCCGCGGAGGGGCCTAGGCGAGGCCGCGACGGGGCCGTAAGGGGCCAGACGGGGCCACGGAGGGGCCTAGGCGAGGCCACGACGGGGCCGTAATGGGCCTAAGCGGGGCCGTAAGGGGCCAGACGGGGCCGTGAGGGGCCGTAAGGGCGGCGCGAGGGGCCGTAGAAGGCGGCGCAAGGGGCCATAAGGGCGGCCACTAAGGGCGGCTCGAGGGTAGGTAAGGCACTCGAAGCGCTACTTGGGTAGGAGTGAAGGGCGCTCCGAGCAGGGGAAAAAAATTGTGGTGGGCCCTAGGCAGCATTCCCACTCGGGAACCTGCTCGATACCATGACGAGAAATGGGGATGAATGAACTATGAAACAGTTGGGTACAAGTACTAACCCTAATTGGGTTGTACCCCTTATGGGCTACCCCACTACAGCCTACACAGATGTATAAGCTATATGTTCTGACACGAAGGGGCTGTGAAGGGGCCGCGAAGGGGCCGTGAAGGGGCCGTGAAGGGGCCGTGAAGGTGCCGCGAAGGGGCCATGAAGGGGCTGCGAAGGGGCTTCGAAGGGAGGCCGCGAAGGGGCCACGAGGGGCTTGAAGGGGCCGCGAAGGGCCATGAGAGGGGCCGTGAGAGGCCATAAGAGGGGCCGCTACGGGGCCGTAGGGGAGCGGGACGGGCCACTAAGGGCAGGGGATGCGACGGGAGGGCAGGCACACGGGGCGCGACTCGGGCAGGGGCGAAGCGCGCTCTGGGCAGGAAAAAAAAAATCAATATTCGGTGGGCCCTAGGAAATGTTCCCACTAGGGAACCTGCTCTATACCATGTGAAGGAACGAGGAATGAATGAACTAGCAAGCAGGTGGGTTTAAGTAGGAAAACCTAAAAGTGTTGTACCCCATATTGTCTACCCCACTACAGCCTACACAGACTATATCATATGAGTTTGACAATAAGGACTGTAGGCTCAACGACATCAGCACCAACGTAGACAAATACCCCCCCCCCCCACGTTGCTTGCAACTATCCCTCGCTTGACGAAGCCATTTCGAGCTGGATCCGTCTGTACCTCATCCTGGAGCACGACCCATCTTTGACAATAAGGGTTATAAAGACGGCGCACTACAGTGACTCTTCCTCAGCCGTATGCTCTCTCCCAAAGACTTCTTAGATGATGATTGTTAAAATTTCTAGCAGCGAACATCATACCCTAGGGCAATCTGGTCTCCAACTGCTCAGTATTCATACTACCATCTCCCGGGGCCACTTACCATGGAACTTTAGATGCTGCATCATGCCTTAAACGAACCACACGAGAAAGAATGGTGTGTGGTTGTGGACGCAAAGATTACGAATTAAAAGCACTTAACCCTTTTATGCTTGGTGATTACATAGCAGTAAAGGGTAGATGCATCCAGTCCAAGAAAAAAAAATCTATATTTTTTTGTCATCGAACGCTTCAGAGTTCGGCTGGTAGTATACACCTTCAACCAGAGGCATGGCCATACTTTGTTGAAACATGTAGCCTCGTCAGCCATCACACATTTGTTCACTCTTGCTCACCGTTGTGAAACTTATGTGTTGCATGTTGTGTAGGCTGTAGTGGGGTAGCCCATATGGGGTACAACCCAATTAGGGTTAGTACTTGTACCCATCCTGTTACTAGTTCATCCATTCCTGCTCATCAGATTGTGAAATGGTTTCAGAGCTGTAGGTCCGTAGGACCATTTCTTTTTTTTCGGGCCCACCATTTGCTAGTGATCGACTGCGGTTACTGCGCTATCCCACACCCTGACCTGCGCTGCACAGTCAGCGCGCGCCCTGCCCTGCCCTGCCAAGTGTCAGACTGCTCGTGCATGCCTTGCCCCGCGTCGCACTGCCCCGCGCACGCCTTGCCATGCCCCGCGTCGCGCTCCCCCTCGCACGCCTTGCCATGCCCCGCGTCACGCTGCCCCGCGCACACCCTGCCCTGACCCGCAACGCGCTGCTCTGTGCACCCCCTGCCCTGCCCCGCGTCGCGCTGACGTGTGCACGCCCTGCCCTGCCCCGTGTCGCGCTGCCCTGCGCACGCCCTGCCCTGCCCCGCACACGCCCTGCCTTGCCCCGCGTTGCGCTGGCCTGCGTACGCCCTGCCCTGCCCCGTGTCGCGCTGCCTCGCGTCGCGCGCCCCTGCAGCCCGTGGCGTTGCGCGCCCCTACTGCCCGTGGCGTCGCGCGCCCCTATTGCTCGTCGCGCCTTGCGCCCCTGCAGCCCTTTGCGTCGTGTGCCCTTGCAGCCCGTCGCGTCGCGCGCCCCTGCTACGCGTCGCGCCGTGCGCCCCTACAGCCCGTCGCGTCGCCCGTCGGCCCTGCCCGTGCCCGTCGCGTTGCCAGAGCAGGCTGCCACAGCCCGCCGCGACGCCCGTGCGCCCTGCCTGCCTGCGCGCCGCCCCTGTACACCCCGCGTCGCGCCGCTCCGTGCACACCGCCCGCGCGCAGACCCTTGCAGCCCGCGCGCCGCCCATCTGCCGCCTGCGAGCCTCCCCTGCAGCCCACAAACCGCCCCTGCAGCCAACGCGCACTGCCCTTGCAGCCTGCGAGCCACCTCTGCAGCCCGAGCGCTGCCCTTGCAGCCTGCGAGCTGCCTGTGCAGCATCCAGCGCGCCCCGCTAAACCGTAAACAAAAAAAATAGAGCCCTAGGTGCTGCTGCCCTAGAGGCTACTGCCGGCTACAGCCCTGCTCTCGCCGCGTGCCGCCCTGCTCTCGCTGCTTGCCGCCCTGCTCTGGCCGCACGCCGCCTTGCTCTGGCCGCACGCCGCTCTGCTCTGGCCGCGCGCCACCCTGCTCTGGCCGCGCGCCACCCTGCTCTGGCCGCGCCCCGCCCTACTCTGGCCACGCCCCGCCCTGCTCTCGCTGCACGCCGCCCTGCTCTGGATGCGCGCCGCCCTGCTCTGGCCGCGCGCCGCCCTGCTCTAGCCGCGCGCAGCCATGCTCTGACAGTTCGTCGCGTGTCTTCATATATTGTATATGTGTTGTTTAGGTTAGTCTAGGTGTTACATTTCTACATCCTTGCATGCTAAGGGTTTGCTATATCTAGGGTTGTACTTCATATTTTTTATCAAATTATTCTTATCGTAACATGGAATAGAGCTAGGTTCCCCCTAGGCGATTTTTCCCTTGTGCGGTTTTTCCTCTAGGCGAAATCTCCCTTGATAGTCTACGGGTCCACCACCCGCGCGCCTCGTAGCGACCCGTAGCCCGAAGCGCCCTGCCCTAAAGAGCCTGAGTAGACCGCGCCCCCCGTCGCCATCGCGCGTCACCTATTTCTGCCCTGCACCCCACCCGTTTTTGCCGTGTGTCACTGTGTTTTCTCCCCCCCGCGCCCCACTCGTTTTACCTTGCGCGTTGCCCCCCAGCCCTCTAGTGTCAACGGGAGTTGTGTTTGGCCCCGTACTCGCTTGGGCGGAGCCGACCGTGGGAGCCGCGAAACCATGGGGGACCGTGGGAGCCGTGAAACCCCGGGGGACCGTGGCAGCCGCGAAACCACAAGGGACCGTGGGAGCCGCGAAATCGCGGGAGGACCGTGGGAGCCGCGCAACCGCGGGAGGACCGCGGTGGCCGCGAAATCGCGGGAGGACCGCAAAATATCCGGTCAGCCAGGATACCCAGGCGACGCGCGCGAATGTTGCCGGGGGTGTTTTCTGCGAGTACGACCTCGGGGGTGGTATCCCGAGGTCGACGTGGCTGGTGGGCGCCATCACAGGTGGAGTGTCTGCGCTGGGCATGTGACGGGGAGTTGGGCGCCAACCAGATGCACGCACCTGCGAAGCTAGTGCACCATTGTCAAGCGGGTGCAATGCTGTGCAGTTGACTTACTGCAGCGTTGGCACACCGTGGACTAGCAACATTGGCAAGCCACGACTATGCCCTGCTAGAGCGCGGTCGACCAAGTCGTGCTGGCACGCGGTCGACCGTGCTGCGCTGGCAGTCGATGAGCAGCCTTGCTAGGTCTGATGTAGTCTGTGTTGCCAATGTTGATGCTATCATTATTTTGAACTTTTGTTGTCAGGTTTTCCTACTGAAACTCTTGCGAATTTTCCCCGTGAACTAGCAAGCAGTGTTAGCACTTGGAAACGACTAAGGAACGAACGAATGCTACGATCAATCTTGCCCTGTGCCTAGCCCGTAGTCTAGCTCCCGTTGCACTAGTTATCTCCGCATGGTGCGGTGAGCGTGGACGACACCGCGAAGAAACC